CCCCAGCCCCCTCCCCACCTCCTTTGGGGACCCTCCAGGGCCGTTCCCTGCGCAGGAGCCCCGAGGCGGCCGCGAGCCCCCCCAGATCCGCCAGGCGAACCTCGGCCACCAACTCCAGCTCCTCGTCCTCGGGAGACCCCTCCCCACTGCGGGGACACGGCCGGGACCCCCGAAAGGGACCCCAGAATCAGACTGGGACCCCAAAATCAGACTGGGACCCCCGAAAGGGACCCCAAAATCAGACTGGGACCCCAAAAATCAGACTGGGACCCCCGAAAGGGACCCCAAAATCAGACTGGGACCCCAAAATCAGCCTGGGACCCCCGAAAGGGACCCCAAAATCAGACTGGGACCCCAAAACCAGCCAGGGACCCCAAAATCAGCCTGGGACCCCAAAATCAGCCTGGGACCCCGAAAGGGACCCCAAAATCAGCCTGGGACCCCAAAATCAGCCTGGGACCCCAAAAAATGACCCTGGGACCCCAAAAATCACCCTGAAACCCCAAAAATCAGACTGGGACCCCAAAAATCAGACTGGGACCCCAAAATCAGCCAGGGACCCCAAAAAATGACCCTGGGACCCCTAAAAATCACCCTGAAACCCCAAAAATCAGCCTGGGACCCCCGAAAGGGACCCCAAAATCAGCCTGGGACCCCCGAAAGGGACCCCAAAATCAGCCTGGGACCCCCGAAAGGGACCCCAAAATCAGCCTGGGACCCCCGAAAGGGACCCCAAAATCAGCCTGGGACCCCCGAAAGGGACCCCAAAATCAGCCTGGGACCCCCGAAAGGGACCCCAAAATCAGCCTGGGACCCCCGAAAGGGACCCCAAAATCAGCCTGGGACCCCCGAAAGGGACCCCAAAATCAGCCTGGGACCCCCGAAAGGGACCCCAAAATCAGCCTGGGACCCCCGAAAGGGACCCCAAAATCAGCCTGGGACCCCCGAAAGGGACCCCAAAATCAGCCTGGGACCCCCGAAAGGGACCCCAAAATCAGCCTGGGACCCCCGAAAGGGACCCCAAAATCAGCCTGGGACCCCCGAAAGGGACCCCAAAATCAGCCTGGGACCCCCGAAAGGGACCCCAAAATCAGCCTGGGACCCCCGAAAGGGACCCCAAAATCAGCCTGGGACCCCCGAAAGGGACCCCAAAATCAGCCTGGGACCCCCGAAAGGGACCCCAAAATCAGCCTGGGACCCCCGAAAGGGACCCCAAAATCAGCCTGGGACCCCCGAAAGGGACCCCAGAATCAGACTGGGACCCCAAAAATCAGCCTAGGACCCCAAAAAATAACTCTGGGACCCCAAAAAGGGACCCCAAAATCATCCTGGGACCCCAAAAAATGACCCTGGGACCCCTAAAAATCACCCTGAAACCCCAAAAATCAGACTGGGACCCCCGAAAGGGACCCCAAAATCAGCCTGGGACCCCAAAAAATGACCCTGGGACCCCAAAAAATAACTCTGGGACCCCAAAATCAGCCTGGGACCCCAAAATCAGCCTGGGACCCCCGAAAGGGACCCCAAAATCAGCCTGGGACCCCAAAAAATAACTCTGGGACCCTGAAAAGGGACCCCAAAATCAGCCTGGGACCCCAAAAAGGGACGCCAAAATCAGCCTGGGACCCCGAAAAGGGACCCCAAAATCAGCCTGGGACCCCAAAAAATTACCCTGGGTTCCCAAAAAGGGACCCCAAAATCAGCCTGGGACCCCCGAAAGGGACCCCAAAATCAGCCTGGGACCCCCGAAAGGGACCCCAAAATCAGCCTGGGACCCCAAAACCAGCCTGGGACCCCCCTGAACCCCCAAGAATCAACCCTGGGGTTTGGGGAATCCCCTAAAACTGAACACCCGGGATTTTTGGGGTCCCCCCGGGGATTTTGGGGTCCCCCCAGGGGATTTTGGGGTCCCCCCGGTATTTTTGGGGTCCCCCCGGTATTTTTGGGGTCCCCCCGGGGATTTTGGGGTCCCCCCGGTATTTTTGGGGTCCCCCCCATATTTTGGGGTCCCCCCGGGATTTTTGGGGTCCCCCCCGGGATTTTGGGGTCCCCCCGGGGATTTTGGGGTCCCCACTCACCCGCTGAGCTGCAGCTGCTGCTCCAGAGCCGCCCCCGGGCCCCCCGAGGCCTCCCAGAGCTGCGAATTTGGGGGGAAAAAACCCGGATTTGGGTCAGGGGGAACTGGGAGGGACTGGGAGGGACCGGGATGGACTGGGATTGAACTGGGTTATACTGGGATTGAACTGGGATGGACTGGGATGGACTGGGATTGAACTGGGTTATACTGGGATGGATTGGGATTGAACTGGGATTGAACTGGGATGAACTGGGATTGAACTGAACTGAGATTGAACTGGGATAAACTGGGATGAACTGGGATAAACTGGGATGAACTGGGTTATACTGGTATGAACTGGGATGGACTGGGATTGAACTGAGCCAAACTGGGTCATACTGGGATTGAACTGGGCCATACTGGGATTGAACTGGGCCATACTGGGATTGAACTGGGATGAACTGGGCCATACTGGGATGAACTGGGATTGAACTGGGCCATACTGGTATGAACTGGGTTATACTGGGATGAACTGGAATTAAACTGAGATTGAACTGGGCTGAACTGGGATGGACTGGGATGGGATTAGGATTGAACTGGGCCATACTGGGATAAACTGGGATGAACTGGGATTGAACTGGGCCATACTGGGCCATACTGGGATGGACTGGGATTGAACTGGGATGAACTGGGATTGAACTGGGATGATCTGGGATTGAACTGGGATGAACTGGGATTGAACTGGGATGAACTGGGATTGAACTGAACTGAGATTGAACTGGGATAAACTGGGATGAACTGGGATAAACTGGGATGAACTGGGATAAACTGGGATGAACTGGGATAAACTGGGATGAACTGGGTTATACTGGTATGAACTGGGATGGACTGGGATTGAACTGAGCCAAACTGGGTCATACTGGGATTGAACTGGGCCATACTGGGATTGAACTGGGCCATACTGGGATTGAACTGGGATGAACTGGGCCATACTGGGATGAACTGGGATTGAACTGGGCCATACTGGTATGAACTGGGTTATACTGGGATGAACTGGAATTAAACTGAGATTGAACTGGGCTGAACTGGGATGGACTGGGATGGGATTAGGATTGAACTGGGCCATACTGGGATAAACTGGGATGAACTGGGATTGAACTGGGCCATACTGGGCCATACTGGGATGAACTGGGATTGAACTGGGATTGAACTGGGATGCACTGGGATTGAACTGGGCCATACTGGGCCATACTGGGATGAACTGGGATTGAACTGGGATGAACTGGGCCATACTGGGATGAACTGGTCACTCACCGGGGTCTCGGGCCGGGGTCCCCAGCACCGGCGCTGCCGCGGCGACTTCCGGGGGGGCTCTGCAGGGACACGGCAACAGCTGAGAACTGGGGATACTGGGATGGACTGGGAGGGACTGGGAGGGACTGGGATGGGACTGGGATGGACTGGGAGGGACTGGGATGGACTGGGAGGGACTGGGATGGACTGGGATGGACTGGGGGGGTACTGGGATGGACTGGGGGGGTACTGGGGCAAACTGGGGGCAATGGGGACCCTCAGGTGACATCAGGGACCCCTCAGGTGACATCAGGGACCCCCCCAGGTGACATCAGGGACCACTCAGGTGACATCAGGACCCCTCAGGTGACATCAGGACCCCTCACCTTGTCCCCAGACGAAGCCGCCGCTCACCAGGCGCTGCAGGGCCTTCTGTGGGGGGAGGGGACACCCCAAAATCATCCCAAACCTCCCCAAAAACACCCCAAAAACACCCAAAAACACCCAAAAAACACCCAAAAACACCCCAAAAACAACCCCAGAACACCCAAAATCATCCCAAACCTCCCCAAAAACACCCAAAAACACCCCAAAACACCCAAAAACACCCAAAAAAACACCCCAGAACACCCAAAATCATCCTAAACCTCCCCAAAAACACCCCAAAACACCCCAAAACACCCAAAAACACCCTAAAAACACCCTAAAAACACCCCAAAAACACCCAAAAACACCCAAAAAACACCCAAAAAACACCCCAGAACACCCAAAATCATCCCAAACCTCCCCAAAAACACCCAAAAACACCCAAAAACACCCAAACCTCCCCAAAAACACCCAAAAAAACACCCCAGAACATCCAAAATCATCCCAAACCTCCCCAAAAACACCCCAAAACACCCAAAACCACCCAAAAAAACCACCCAAAATCATCCCAAACCTCCCCAAATCCCCTCATGAGGGTCCCAGCCCCCCAAAAACCACCCCAAAATCCCTCAGGGGGACCCAAATCCCCCCAAAATCCATCAGGGGGTTCCCAAATCCCCCCAAAATCCATCCTGAGGGTCCCAAATCTCCCCAAAATCCCCTCAGGAGGGTCCCAGCCCCCCAAAAACCACCCCAAAATCCCCTTCAGGGGGGTCTCAGCCCCCCAAAATCCCCCCAGGGGGGTCCCAAATCCCCCCCACATCCCACCACAGCGGG